AAACCCTAGCGAAACCCTAAACCCTAAAGTGCCGATTGTCTACACGGGGCCTCGAAATGTAAACTCTCTTTTTCAGTTTGTAGTTTCGCAGACAACGCTGCAGCCCCACGAGGACTTGTGACCCAAACCCTAAACCCTAAACCCTAAACCCTAAAAAGCCGTTTCCGCGTTTTTTGTTGAAATGTACAAACATACATTTCTCACCGCAAGTTGCCTGAGGGTTTAGGGTTTAGGGTTTTGGAACTTTCCACTGAATAAATAAAAAAATAAAAACAGAAATATCTTTTTCAAACTCTCATTGTTTGCTGCCGCAATGGGCGCAGGGAGACGGCCCGTAGCTGTTGCTGCTGCTGCTGCAGCTGCTCGTGCTGCTGCTGCAGCACCAGCAGCAGCATATGCTCGTGCCGCTACTGCTTTTTTTGCGGGGCAGCAGCAGCAGCAGTGCAGCTACCTGTAGCAGCAGCAGCAGCTGCTGCTGCTGCAGGTAGCTGCTGCTGCTGCTGCTGCTGCTGATTTAGTTGCGGAGCAGCAGCAGCAGCAACAGCGCTGCTGCTGCCGCTGCTGCTAACGGCCCCCACACTGCCTAGGCGCCAAATAAACTATTTATTTGATTCCTTGCTCTTCTGGCCCTGCGGTATCCGCTCATTTAGGGTTTAGGATCCCTACTAGGGTCTAGGGACTCGCGCAGCAATGCAGCGCTTCCCTACAGTCCAAACCCTTCTTTACGCGGCAAACCCTAAACCCTTATTTGGGGCTAAACGCTAGGCCCTAATTTGGCACTAGTCACCCTGAATGGCGCTAAACCCTAGCTGCTTCCTAAACCCTAATCTAGTGTCCAGAAAGGCCACTCTCTCTACACTCAGGAGCAGCAGCTGCTGCTGTTGCTGCTGCTGTGTCTGGACGCCATCAGCAACCACTCGCAGCAAAATACAAAGTTTGCTCAGTCCATGCGGCGAAGTATCGTGCTGCAGGAGCAGCAGCAGCTGCTGCTGCTGCAGTGGCTGCTGCTGCTGCTGCAGCACGGTCTGCTGCTGCAGTTGTAGCTGTTGCTTCAGCTTCACGTGTCACTCAGTACGTTGCTGCGCCCCGCTGCAGCAGCAGCTGCAGCAGCAGCAGCACCCTCCCCGCCCCCGCCGCGGAAGCGCCGTTCGGCGCCTCCGCCGCCGCCGCTGCTGCTGCTGCTGCTGCTGCTGCTGCAGGGTTTAGGATCCCTACTAGGGTCTAGGGACTCGCGCAGCAATGCAGCGCTTCCCTACAGTCCAAACCCTTCTTTACGCGGCAAACCCTAAACCCTTATTTGGGGCTAAACGCTAGGCCCTAATTTGGCACTAGTCACCCTGAATGGCGCTAAACCCTAGCTGCTTCCTAAACCCTAATCTAGTGTCCAGAAAGGCCACTCTCTCTACACTCAGGAGCAGCAGCTGCTGCTGTTGCTGCTGCTGTGTCTGGACGCCATCAGCAACCACTCGCAGCAAAATACAAAGTTTGCTCAGTCCATGCGGCGAAGTATCGTGCTGCAGGAGCAGCAGCAGCTGCTGCTGCTGCAGTGGCTGCTGCTGCTGCTGCAGCACGGTCTGCTGCTGCAGTTGTAGCTGTTGCTTCAGCTTCACGTGTCACTCAGTACGTTGCTGCGCCCCGCTGCAGCAGCAGCTGCAGCAGCAGCAGCAGCCTCCGCGCCCCCAGCGCGGAAGCGCCGTTCGGCGCCTCCGCCGCCGA